CTTTGAGAAATCACTTGCACAAAATTTAGAAGTAACACAAAATAATAAGAAGAAAGAGTAGAATGACTGTAAGGTCTTCCGTGAAGACGGAAGACCTAAATGATAATAAGAAGATGAAACAGTAGAATCACTATAAGGTCTTCTTTGAAGACGAAAGACCTTAATAAGAAACAGTTGAATCACTATAAGGTCTTCCATGAAGACGAAAGACCTTCACTAGAAAGTCTGCCATTACAAGCAATAAAGTATGCCACCCCAAACTGAACCCATAAGCTGAAGGAATCTTGAATGCTTTAAAAAGTGAGTATTCGTAGAAAAAAACCCTCCCCCATCCTCTTTCACACAAAATCGAAACACCTTACGCTTGCTAGATTTGGTCGAACCAAAGTAACGAGAAACGAAAGTAGAACTTTAAGAGTCTTGCATGGTCCACGTCAAAACGTGCTGAAGCAAAATAATACCTGAATTTTCCTCCACAATTCGGGCATTTCTGCATTGGACAAGGGTTGATTTTTTATGAGATAATAACCTATGTGTTAAGTTTCTTAGTTTAGCAGAATCATAAATACTTCCGGCGTACTGAATGTTTTGTGAACAGTATCGATGAGGCCTTCACGCACCTGTGTGAGCGGATCCCAGGATTTTCAATTAATGAAAACGATAGAAAAAAAATTAAATTCTGTACGTTTGCATAAATTGGCGTATTCAATATTTAGCGCAATCACTGGGTAGGGAGTTGTTGGCGAAATCATGAATTAGCGCTATACATGTCGATTGCCGATTATAGTATTTATAAATGATTTTTAGCGGTATTCATGATATAGCGCATCGTTGTCTGCGCCAAAGCCGCTAAAAAATGAAGCCCGCTTTTTAAAGTACACATACAGTAATTCTAACAAGCGAACTCAGAGAATGTGTTTCCCCCGCTTAAGGAAAAAAGAAGAGTATGCGCAGTTTGGGGGTGGGGGGTCGGACCCCCCCCCCCCTTGATTTGTAGAATTATTAAATGTACATATCTATACTGAAGCAAAAAAAAAAATGCCAATATGGATATAAAGATTTGATTGCTTATTCTTTAATATGTGTATAGAAGATTCTTTTTACATAGAATATTTATCACATTGTAATAATGATTTTATGAGTTTGTACAAGCCAGACGTCATAACTTTTTCATTTCACATGCTGAATACTATCAATTGTATAGTAAATCCTAAAAAAATTCAAAAAAAAACTCGTCCGGGATTTGAACCCGGTACCTCTCACATGCTAAGAGAGAGTCATACCCCTAGACCACTGCGGCACTTGATTATACAGTAAATTAAATGCAAACAGTAGGTCACATATAATGTTTATATTCACGTTCGATATTGTCAAAATTTTACATAATACATGGTGCCTAATATAGCCTTTACTAAACCGTTCTAATAGATGTAATAAGAATATAAATCCGCCGACAACCTGTATTATTAAGGAATGTTTTTAAGTTTCGTGTGAGTTATTGGTGTGTAAATCACACAGACTTGTCACGTCGGCATATTTCATAAAGCGCGCTAGCGCTTCATGAAAAATATGCCTACGTGCAAGTTTGTGTGATTTACACACAAATAATTCACACTAAACTTAAAAACATTACTTATATTTACATTTTACAAGTTTAGAAGCACCAATAATATACTGAATATTTGAACTTCTTGCTGCCCTATATCGTTATATTTTTATTAACGTCTCTGTAGCCTCATTGTGACGTCACTTTACCGCGAGTTTCACCGTGTATATTTCTACGAGTGAGTATACACAAAAATGAACTTCAAATCAATTGCACAGTTGGCTTAGTAGAAAAACATAGCAAATGTAAATATTACGTAATAACTCTCCGCCTCCCCCTGTACTGAAATTAGTGCCAAGCGACTTTCAATATAATAAATAAAAAAAACGGAGCGGGACAGTTTGAGAGAGGCTAGAGAGGCCCTAGGGAGAAATGGTATCAACTTTCATTACAAAAGCTCATATTGCCCGGAAACGAAAGTGTTACACACAGACGGAATGTATGAATTTACGACCTTGAACTTTGACCTTCTGACCTCAAAATCGAAAGGGGTCTTCCTTAGGCTAAAGGGAGTGGCTATGTAAAATTTCATTGCAAAAGCTCAAAGGAAGTTCAAAGGATTCTCGAGATATCGCGCGGAAACGATACTGTTAAAACAGACAGAATTTATGACCTTTACCTTTGACCTGAAAATCAATAGGGTTCCTCTTTAGGCCATAGGGAGTTGCTATGCAAAATTTCATTGCGAAAGCCCAAAGCAAGGGACAAAAAGACCAAACATAAGCGTATAAACAACATTTTTTTGGTCAATTGCAAATACGAATTTTTCAATCTGTAAATAAACATCGCCACATAAAAATCAAATTGAAAATATATAATAGAAGGAATATGTTGGGGTTAGAGTGGTAAAGTAATTTTTAAAATAAAACATCTGATAATATACAATGGTCACGGGACAGCAACATTTCTTCATTTTTTTTATACTCTGATTGCAACTTTGGTAAAAATTTTAAATGATGCCTGCACACATACGAAGGGTGATTATTATTTCTGTGGAAGCTAGGTTCCAGTAAGATTTTCAAAGTTATCTACGAGAACAGTCACGGACAAAACCATGTGTGGAAACATCGCAAAATAGATGACTCGACTGTAGTTTTTCGTAAATTATACGTCTTTTTTTTTTGTCTATTCTGTTCCATTTGTTTTGCAGGAATCACTTTGATGAGATGCAACTGTCAACTCTTTGACGTACAAAAAAAAATTCTATGAAAAATTACTGACCAAAAAAAAAAAAAAAGAAAAAAGAAAAAGATTAAATAAGGATTGCACATATTTAGTTGGTGATCATTATGACTGTGAAAATTTATTAATATTGGCCGAGCCATCTTTGAAAAAATGTGAGGACAACGTGGTCGAACAATGGCAATGTGCCTCCCCGACTTCCTTCAGGGTAATATGATAATCAGTAGAATCACTGAAAGAGTTTCCGTCTGAAAGGAAAGACCTTAAAAAGAAACAAGCTCTACGTATGTACAATTTCTAAAACGAACTAAATTATTGACAAACAAGTTGACGAAACAAGAATATCTGCAGTCTCTTTTAAAAACATCATTTCGTATGTTCTATGGTCGATACAATGCCCTTGTAAGCAAATACAATTTATCATTGAGTCAAATACTGAATGACGTTTTTCATACTAATTGTTAGGCCTTTATTTACACACTGAATTGTCGACGGATTTTCCCGTTATTTCCCGATCATGACAAGGAGCGCACGGTGGGTGTGACCGGTCGGCAGGGGATGCTCACTCCTCCATGGCACCTGATCCCACCTCGGATGTTTTGGAGGTCCGTGTTTGCTCTGCTCCTATTTTGTAATGTTTAATGGACTTTTGAGCTTGAATATTGTTCGGTATCTCACTATAGTTCACAATAGATTCACTACAAGGTCTTCCTTGAAGGACCTTAACTGTTGCCAATCTCGCTGCAAAGCAATGAGGAGGTCTTCCGATGGACGACGGATTTCAAAATTAATATGTTGAGAATTTTTGTTCTAAATAAATAAGCTAAAATTTATGAAAACTGCCAAAAATATACATAAAAAAATTATTTCTTTGCAGATTCTAGTTCGAAATGGACATTTTTTGCCTTTAAGACGTCACTTCCGGTTAAAGTAAGAAATAACAAAGTCCAGAACAAAACCTTAAACCTCACTTACAAATCATTGTATATTATTTTCAATGATTTAAGAGAAAAAAGCTTCATTTTGTTCGACTACCGGTTTACATCATAAGTATTTCAAATGGACTGTTTTTGTTGTACACTTCTATTTGCTTTTATTCAAAGTTCAAGACACATAGGGTATATACAGTTTTCTTCATACAAATCAAAATCAAAACAAGAATGTAACAGTTAAATACAAGCGTATACAATGCAATGTTTGTCTTACATCTTCTTAATTTGGCAAAGGTGGGGTCAATCACCCATCTCACCCTTAAATGGTGAAGGGGGGAGAGAGGGTAACTAAACATCTGGTTAAAAAATTCCAAAACAAATGTCTTCTCCTCAACACTCAGGCGATTATAGAAAGAACGCTGTCTGTTAGTCAATGAAATCAAAGGAAAGATGAGAGGCCATATATGGGTAACTGACTAAACAAAATGTGTGGCTCGCCAAGGGTGACAAAGGAAAGTAATGACAACTCGGCGTCATAAAATAATTTAAATTAATGTAAACATCCATTAATGTTCATGTAAACATCCATAAATTTCCAACAAATATTCATAATTGTTCTTTACACATATAAAATATTTCTTACATACATGTACGATAATACTACCATACCACCTCTATATTAACTACTGCTTGCCAGAAAATTATTGTAGAAAAACATGTATATACAGTTTTTGTTATCAAAAAAAAAAAAAAAAAAAAAAAATCAAAACAAGAATTTCACAGTTAAATAGAGGAAAAAAAGTTTAGTCTTGCGGACCGAACGTAGTGGGTTTTTTTTTTATTCGTTAAGGCGATAACATATGTCTTTTTTTTTAATTTCAGATCTGCATATACGATGTGGTTTACGGTAAATCCCAAATGGGAAATTGTTGAACGAATTTTCTCCCGTCTTATTGCGTTAATTCAATTGCAACTTTTATCACTTAGTAAATTAATTTCTCATGAGATTTCAACTGTTAATTTTGTATGTTCATTTTGGCATTTGGAAAACAAGAATGGCCAAAATTTTCAATAAATTTTTACATTCGTAGTACAGCACTATGTTGCTATACCTTGCTATGTCTTTTTCCAAAGTCGATAATAGTCACGTACAGCAACGATTGTTATTCTCGATGAGTAAAATTATGAACAGTAAATGATAAAATACACCCTTGTAGTATCGTTTTTTTATTTTATTTTATTTTTTTTTTTTATCGTTTATCTTTTTTTTTTCCAAACGATCAACACTCCAGATATTTGATGAAATTAAGTTTTCCTTTACGTCTGTCTCCAATGACTAGATTGTGGTTTCTATCAATACTTAGTCCGCCATCACACGGATATTCTATATATCTGACAAAATTACCATTACAGTCTAAAATGTGTACAATGTTGTTTTTTGAGATATCGCTTATCAATATTTGATTATTTACGTCATGATCAATGTGACATGGTTTGAATTCTTGGTTTTTCAGTTGTTTGGATGAATCGCCTATATACTTAAAACGTAATATCCCAGAAGAATCCACAGCAATAACTGCATTCCCAGCATTGTCAGCAACACAAATGTTTCCATCGCCATTCTCAGTAAGCTGAAGCCCATTTAAAACATCAGTAGAAAACAAAGCCTGTCCCTGACTGCCATACTGGATTTTTTGAATTTCTGCTGTCCCCGAGTATCTTGCCACTATACTCTGTGTCTTATCTTCTGAGCGCATGCTCACCAGTAGATGTTCATTCTCTGTATAACATAAACCGACCGGAAACCAATGAGGTATGCTTAGTAATATCTTAATTTTACCCTTATCAAACATATAAATGTCTATATTTTTGGAAGAATAGGGGCTGAAGGAAAACACCATCTCTTGTTGCAAATTAATTGCCAAACCCCACACATCGTGATGTGTCAAAATTTTTTTAAGCTGTGATCCTTTCTTGTCTACTTCTCTGATAACGCCGTCATTTCCACTTATAATCAAATTATCTATACCAGAACACCTTATGCTCATCAACTCATCATCATTGCCATATATAGTTTGACCTTTTAGTACTACGACAGGTTCATCCATCATTTTCAGCATTCCGGGTTTTTTCCTCAGATTATTAACCGTCTGATAAAGACCGAAAAGGTAAACAATTTGGTCTTCTTTAATAATACCAGGGAAGAAATATGGCCATGAAAATTCCGAAAATTCCAGGCCTTGGAGATAATGCTTATTTATTGGCTCGTATTTCATGATAGCTGACGCATCATTTCCTCGAAGAATAGCTTTGTTACTCTGAATGACCTGATTGAGTTCTTTTACAGCTTTTTCTGTTAAAGACAGGTTTTTGTTGCACTTCAAAATTTCTTCTTTTTTCATATTAGTTACTTTGTCTTTGAGATTATTGCATGTTTCATGCACAGATTTGCAGATCCTTTCTTTTCGGTGTTCGATTGCACACAGAAGTTTTTCGAATTCTGCAGCTGTGGATATTGGGTTTGCATTTCTGTATTTTGGAAAAATAGTATTTTCCATTTCTTCAGTGTCAGCTATAATTTCCTGTTTACGTTTTTGAAGAAAATCAATTATATTGGTAAAATCATGATTTTTGTGTGAACCAATCACACATTGACTGCATATTGGTATTTTACATTCTTGGCAGTATGTCAAACATCGATTTCTGTTGTGTGAGGAGCACGAAGAAAAAGATATGTTTTCTCTTTTAGATTTGTATTCAACGATTTCATGTTTTCTTGATTTGTCGGCCAAGTGTTTTGGTATGCAAGAGAGGCAAAGGTTTATGTGACAAATGTTGCAGTGATGTTCCACAGGGCTTGGACACAATTGGCATTGGATAACATCCTGTCCCATGGCGGTAGCCATGGCTTTTGTAATCTGTGGTAAATAGAAGGCACATTAACCTTGGTAGAACATACTGAAGTTAAGCATACATGTAGCATTTTAATTTATATACATCTAAATGCATTTTTTATGTCACATTACAATCTTTTTTGAGTTTTTGTAATTACATGAGTGATGGCAATTCCTTTAAAGATGAAAGGAGAAGAAGAGATTAAAATGAATTGATTCCATATAACCACTTGATTTTAAGATCACACTTCATTTTTTCTTTTATTCCTCTTAATACGATAAATTCTGTAGAAAACGATGTTGACAAGTACATTTAATTATTTTCCAATAAGTGCCATAAAGCAAAGTTCATAGATATGCTTAATGATTTAAACCATTTAAAGAGTATTTACACAAAAATATTAACCTAAAAAGAATTAATATTCGTCGGTAAAATATGATATAAATTCAATGGATATTTTTGTCATAAAGGTTCTTAAGATCAGAACAGATTTATAAACTATATATTAACATGCTAAGCAACGAAATTCAAACTGAAAAAAATATCAATATATATCAGAATGAAAATGAAGAAAAACAATGTAAAATAAAATAAAATTAAAAAAAACAATACCTTTAATAACTGACTTCCATAAAACAAACAACATATAAAATAATAAGGATAAAGAGAAAAAAGCGTTTCATCAGATATTACTAGAATAAGTAGTGTCAACGGAAAAAAAATGCATAAAAATATCACAGATTGACAGATAATAGAATGGAGAAGGAAATTCCCTGAAAAAGGGATAAAAATGATGTCCACATAAACAATTTCAGAAAAATTGCATTGATCTAAATTATAAATTCTAGTACTCGTCTATGTTGCTCACAAAACATAATCAAGTAAAATAATGTAATGCATCAATGGAATTTCGGTTTAGTAAGAAAAAAAAACCTTTAAAGAAATTTTAAAGCAATCCAAGGAAAGGAAATACAACAGACAGATAAAAGAAAGCAGGGTCATAATTTATTTGAATTTTTCAGTAAAATTTATTCAATAGACTGCTCAAACAAATCGATAAATTTGAAAATTAAACCAAAACGAAAACGAAACCCATAGAAGTTAGAATGCGCAGATGTAGTCCTCATTAAGAAAAAAAAAAGAGATTAAAGGATTCACTGTCTAGTTTGTTGGGTATGTCAAGGCATCTACGATAGTTGGAAACGAGGGATAATTTGCATAACGGGCGAAGCCAGACAGTGATTCCTTATATTTACATTTATATGTGAAAAAAAATTGAAAAAAAAAATGCTTATAGATTTAAAATACTTGAGGCCTCACATGTTAATTTCAAAAGTCCCCGCCCAATGACGTCAGACACAAACACAGCCGCACGAGATTGACATGCATATAAGGCTCCTGAACTTTCACCTGGAATTAACATTCCGGTAGAATTATCAAGAAATTGATTCACCTAACTTTCAAAGAGATACCACAGAAAAATGTTTTTCAAATGAAAATATTTTTGACTAAATGTTGTATCTTCAGTAATATTGTGTCCATTTTTTTTTAAATGTAGTAAATTGTAATGATTCTAATAAAATTTTATTAAGTAAATATCACGTGGTATTAAAGGCCAAAATGCATAAAAATACAACATGATGACATATACATTTCTGCTCGTAATCAGTGATTGTTTATGGATATGCTACTTAGATACCTGATTTTAATTCCATATGTATTCCATAGTATATATAAAATGTGCTGCAATTTTTTGACCAGCCATTTAGAATCGCAAAAGAAAGTCAGGCTTCTTATATAAAGATAAGTTCTCAAAAAAATCGTATTTCGATATACACACATATGTAAACCAACTGGTATTCGCGTCAACTTTTTTTTTAACGATTCATCAGTTTGAAATCAATCCGCGACGATTAATTTTCGCGACTGAGGAAATATTGTATATGAAAACAAAGCAAAATAAATGGTACGCGACGATTAATATTCGCAAGTAAACGTAGGTCGCGAAACTCGCGGATATTTCTCGCACGTAAATAAAAGTTAGTCTACAAAATATTTGAATTTCGATTTAATGAAAAATAATGTCTCAGATTACACAAGTTTCATCTACAAGTTTTTTTTTTTTTAAATTTAAAATATTCTTTAAAACAAATAAAATAATGATTTAAAAGATGAAGAATTTAAAATTTATCAATACATGTACAAGAATTAGCATGTCTTTCTTTGTTGTGTTAAAAAAGTTAGCAGTTGTAACCGAACAAAAAAAAAAAGAAAAATAAGAACGAATAAAGAAATGCCTTCTCTTTTTCATGCAATGCTGTGACCATTATAACCCGAATAATATTTGTTTGTTGTTAAACGTACCTCTCGAGAAATTTCACTCATATAGAGACGTCGTCACTTCCCGGTGGAGAGCTGACAATTTTTAATGAAATAAAAATCATACACTGTATGTAGTGTTAGTGAAGGACTTGGTGAAAAGTTAAACAACCTGGTGATCGTTTCTGTGACTGACTTGAGAAAAATTGTCTGTTACTTATTTCTATTGCAATGAATTATGAAAATATATTTTAATATATTTTTTAATTTCACCTTCTTTAATAAATCGATGGTTAAATATTCAGTTAAGTATTGTCATTTATTAATAATATCAGCTGTTATCCTTTTTAGCTCACATGAGCCGAAGGCTCAAGTGAGCTTTTCTGATCGAAATTTGTCCGTTGTCTGTCGTCGTCGTTGTCGTTGGCGTTGTTGTTGGCGTTGTCGTAAACTTTTCACATTTTCATCTTCTTCTCCAGAACTACTGGGCCAATTTCAATCAAACTTGGCACAAAGTATCCTTGGGTGAAGGGGATTCAAGTTTGTTCAAATGAAGGGCCACGCCCTCCTCCAAGGGGAGATAATTACGAAGTAACAAAAAAATAATGGCATTATTGAAAAATCTTCTCCTCAAGAACCAATGAGCCAGGAAAGATGAAACTCATGTGGAATTATTGTCAGGTAGTGTAAATTCAAGTTTGTTCAAATCATGACCCTCGGGGTTAGGGTGGGGCCACAAGGGACGATCAAATTTTTTCATAGGAATATATAGGAAAAATCTTCAAAAATCTTCTTCTCAAGAAAAGCAAAGCTATGATTAGTCATATTTACATGGAAGCATCCTCAGGTGGTGTAGATTCATATTTGTTCAAATTATGATCCCCAGGGGTAGGGTGGGGCCACAATGAACGATCAAAGTTTTACATAGGAATATGTAGGAAAATTCTTTAAAAAGCTTCTCAGGAACAGCAAAGCCACTGTTTGTAATATTTATATGGAAGCATCCTCAGATAGTGTAGATTCAAGTTTGTTCAAATCATGACCTCCAGGGATAGAGTGGGGCCACAATGAAAGTTCAAACTTGTAGAGAAAAATGTCACAGTTAGTCAAAAAATTATGTAAGCATCCTTAGTAAGTGTGGATTTAATTTTGTTCAAATCATACCCCCCACTCCCTTTTAGGGTAGGTTGGGACTACTTATGCATTTAAGCTTTTCAATACTAAACTAATTTTTTTTTCCTAGCCACAGTGCTCAGGTGAGCGATGTGGCCCCTGGGCCTCTTGTTATAACATGGAGTTGAAGAAAGTTTGTTATCTATATGTACGTTAAATGTGTGATGCTGATTAAATTTGTTGTGAAATAATCAAATCTATTCAGTTTTCCTTTAAGTTTATTTGTGTTAATTAAGTGGCAAACACATGTCCATTGTACTGCATTAGTAATATCAGCATTCAATGGCTTTATAAGGAATAGTTGACTCTCATCACATGAAAAGAGCCCTTTACATGAACATTTCACAAAAATGACTTTTTTGTAATATTTTGTCCATTTTTTGAAATGTCAAAAATTGTTATGTTCCTAATGCAATGTTATTAAGTAAATATCACGTGGTATTAAAGACGGAAATGTATAAAAGATGCAAAATGATGTCAAATATATTTTTGTTTGCAGTCTTTGATTGTTTATGGAAATTCTACAAAACAGTTTTAGGAAGGAGGAAGAATAAAAGCGGGTAAACAGAAGAGTTGGGGAAAAAAACAGGATTTGAAATGCCCCTCCCCCCTTAAATGTGTAATGTGTAATAAAGACTCGTAATAACAAGATATGTTCTCGAAAACTACGCGATTTGATTTGCCGGTATACATGTATTTACGTTTAAATTCAGAAACAAATAGTGCCTCAGACAATACAAATTTTATCTAGAACTTTACAGTTTTAAGATTGTATTTTATTCAAGTGTATATACAGTGTTTTTTTTTTCCAATTTCAAATGCTATTCTTTGTTCCTTCCCTTTCTGAAAAAAAATAGTCCCTGTAATTTTCAGATATTAATATCCTTACAAACCATTTAAGCGTTTTCTACTTACACGCGGTGACCTGTTTACAAAATCACTCACACTCCCTTATTACTCCATATATATATACCTTTTAAACATATTTTATACAATTTAATTTATTCTACTGGAATAAATATATATTTCATGCATAAATTCTATGCACTTCTTTTAAAATGATTAAATTTCTGAAATTTCGATTGCTGACCCTACTGGTACTAGTTGTTTTGTTTAAAATCAGAGTTCTTTGCACATTGCTGGACTGGCTCCTTTATTAGCTTTCATCTTACCTTGATGACCGGCACAGGGACAGATTCTCTTTGGGTTTTTTTTTATTGTGCCCCAAACTTTCACGGTGCCTATGATATATTCTCTTTGAAAGTATTGCTATGGGGCTTTATCCTCCGTAGAAGGCCCAGTTCGATACAATATCAAAATATATTCAGGACATATATGAGCATCAAATAAATGTTTGTCTATTATATTAGTACCTTGTTAAGTACAAAATTGACTAATAATATCTCTGTCACATAATCATTAGAACTGCTTGCAAAAATCAAACACAGATTCTCCATTATGAACGTCACACACAACAAGGCATTTAGTAGGTCGTGTTTATAAATAAACATCCATTTCC